TTAAACTTTGAAAATATGAAAAAAATCGATTTTTTCAAATTTCTAGACCAGATTACCCCCTTAAATAGAGAAACTGCTTTTTGCTTTTATGATCGGTAAAAGAATTTATAAAGTTTTCATACGGTAGTATTTCTCATTGTTCTTTGAAAGACTAAAATTCTTAAAATTTAATAAACATTCATGAATTATTGTTTCAATTGTTAGATCATTTTTAATGTCAATTTTTCTTATTTAGGTTTACTTTCTCTTTTACAAAATTAAGGTGCTAGAAAATATCTTTTAAAAGGGTAGTCGATGAAATTGAAATGAAATTAATGAAAAATGTTAAAAGTTACGCATTTGTATTCATAGAATGTGTATCATATTTATTCCAGAAAGTAAAGAAAGAAATAAGTTTTCAAAGATGTAAAGTTAGGTTTTACAAGCAACGATTTTACTCTTAACAGAAGATTTTTATAATATGGTTTTAAGGGAAACTTTCTCTTTTCAGTTTTTATTGCTAAAGAAATGACAATATATCCGTATATCTTCAGGTAGCTATTGCAATCTTCGGTTATTTTTCTTTTATTTTGAATCATGTCGACCAAATAGGCTTTGTGGTTAGAAATTGTGGTCTTTGAGCGGCGAAAACCCGTATACTTATTTTTACGATATAATTTTGAAAAAAGAAAGGTTTTCTTTTTATTACCCCAATGTTTTCCAAGGTTACCTTTCCTTTCTAAGCTGTGTTATTTCAAATTTAGAAATCTTCTTGAGGTAGGTACTACTTTTATATTTTTAAAAACATAAAGGATTTTTTTTAAACAGAGAAAAAAAAGAAACAAAAAGAAACAAACAATAACATCTGGATGGAATTTATGGAAGAGAAAGAATTTCGAGGAAAGAGAGAAACGACTGAAAATCGGTGGTTTCCACGAAAATGCACTGTTCCTCCCACCTGATTTCCCTCTCTCACCCCCTTTCACCTACTCTCTCTCTCTCTCTCTCTCTCTCTCTCTCTCTATCTATTTCTCTTCCTCACTTTTGCATGAGTGGCAATCGGTTAAACGAACGTGCAACGCGCATTCGCACGCGAGCTTGATACATTCGAACGTACACACATATATACGGAACAACGTACATTTGTGTACGCACGCACGCACGAATATACACAAAGAAAGTGGCGAACTGAGAGGTGCACGCAGCAGCCACCCTCTAGTGCCGCCGCAGGTACCCTTTAATCCGCATTGGCATCGCAGCAGGACGGATCGATAGCCGATAACGAGGTCGAAGCATTGCGATGCAAAACAGCTCGTTAAATGTCTCTTTCCATCTTTTATTTCACCTCCTCCTCTTCCTCCTTTTCTTTCTTTTCCTCATCTTCCGCTTTCTTCTTTTTCTTCTTTTTCTTATCTTTCTTCTTAAGCTATCGTACCATTCGAAGCTTTATCTTGTAAGATTCTACAACCCCACTACTACGGAGGTAAGAAACCTTCCTCCTCCTCCTCTTCCTACTTCTCTTCCAACTCGAAGACAACGACATTTTCCTCTTACTTACTCAAGATTACTTCGGCGTTGCTCTTGGAGACTTTACCGAGTCAATCGGGTTCCGTTTGCAAGACCCACTTGAAAAGCGGCTTATTATTTCCGCGGTCTCCTTCGAGACTCCTCGTCCATTGAGAAGGACATTCGCGAAGGACCCGCGTAATCCTCGACACGTTTGCGATGAAATAGAAAGATAAAGAGAGGGAGAGAGAGAGAGTAAGGTTAAGATAGGAGCCAATTAGTTACAAGGTAGAAGACTTAAGAATAGTCTCTCTTCACGAGAGTATCAATGTTTACCTATCAAAGATCTCTTCAAAGGAGGAATAAGAAACAGGATTCATTTTCTTGTCGATCCTTTGATCAAACAAACTTCTCATTGATTGAAGAATCACATGTATATTAAATTTATACGTACATCGATATATTAGGTGTAGCAATTAATTAAATACTTTTTAAAACAATTTTTAAAAATATTTATTTATAAAGTAATCATACATTTGTTATATTACTTCGGAATAGACATTATTTTTGATAACTTTAATAAATCTTACGAACAATTATATAATTCCTTAACGAACATTTATGATGCCGAATTTTATGCAAAAATATAATATCGATGACTCCAAATTCAATGTTACATCTAAAGCAATAATTTATAAATACAAATTTATCAGAAAGTTGGCAAGATAATCGAGTTTTTCTCGATAAGTTAGTAATCTAATGGGGAAAACAGTATCCTTGGAAAGGGTAAACTGTACGCAGGATGTTGCCATATCGAGTATAAACCTCCTTTTGCATGCGTAGTGGTTGTTGTTGTTGGTGCATCGTCGTCGTTGTCGTCGTCATCGTCGTAGAGGGTCAAAACGAACCAGTTGGAGGGAGGATGAAGAGGAAGAGGAAGCGTGGTCCATAGAATGAGGACGAGGAAGAGGAGGAGAAAGGGTAGGACGAGAGGTCGCGTGGAAATCGGTGACTGGGAGGATGGTTACTAATTGTCCGGGCCCTTCTCGCCCTTCCTCTATCCCTCATCAACGTTGATTGCCTAACTCTAGGACCCTCCGAGAGCATCGTCCCCGCGATCGTCGAGCGTGGTTAGAGGAGGAAGAGAGTGAGTGCATGTGTATGTGTGTGAGAGAGAGAGATAGATATATGCTGGACAGTTCGCGTACTCGTGCACGTTGACGAGATGACTTACACGAATCTCACCAGCTCTCTAATCTGTGAACGTGTCTATGCTTATCGTTAGTATCGCGAGAGATTCGTGAACGTGCGTACGTATTAACAGTACCGGTGCGTTATTGTTATTGTTATTATTGTTATTGTTGTTGTCGTCGACTAGGTTGGACCTACAAATATAATAAATCTTTCGTTAATCAAAAAAAAAAAAAATACATATATACATCGAGAAGTTTACTGATACAGTATGAGCTGGACAAGGTAAACTTGTTGATAAAAAAAAACAACAAACAACGGCGGGGAGGGGGCAGAATAAAAAGGATTCAAGTACGAGAGAAAGAGAGAGAGAGATAGTCGTCGAATTCATTGTGCTCCCGGAAGTCGATTATTCTGCCAGCGATCAGCGAATGGTTTAACGCTGAATTTTTATATTCTCTCCCTTTCTCTCTCTCTTTCTATCTACCTATCTATCTATCTGTCTCTTTCCGCTACCCCTTTCTCCAGCATTGACTCAATTATACGTCACGATTCTTTGGGCAAACATTAGTTAGCGCCGGTTGGGTCTCGCGCGCACACGGATTGGCTTGGATCGGTTCGGTTCGGTTCGTGCGGCGACCCTTCATGGTTACTTGGTTCCGTTGTCTACTCGTCAACGAACGAACGGCCCCATGGCTACAGGGTGTCAACGCGGTTCTCATTTTCCTCGAGATAATCCCATTAGGCAACGACAAAGCGTCCGAAATTGTCGCTTCGACGTGCCTTCCTGCCTGCTAGCCTGCCACCACGTTTCGGCATCCCCAGAAGCTTATGCCAATAAAATCATGATTGTGCTGCTGCCAATTGAGCTTCCTATTTTTAACTCTTCTCTTTAAACTTTCTCTCTCTCTCTCTCTCACACACACACTCTTTTCGTTTTGATGACTCTTTCTATTCCGAAAATCGATCAATTTTGGGTATACATACTAATCCCTATTTCGTCGAAATATGAAAAGAAAAAAAAGAAATAAAGAAACAAGAAAAATCTTTGCGTTAATTTCGTGAAAGTTGAGGGACCCTTTTTCTTTTTTCTCTTTTTTTTATTTTCTATCTCTTAGGGGGTAACTATCAACGCGTTGTGTTCCCCTTTCTCTCTAAATTCTCTTCTATATTGTGGAAGGAAAAGGAGACAAGAAGAAGAAGTAGGGATGAAGAAGGGAGAGGATGCTGTTAGAGCGATCTCCAGGATGAGATAAGAAGGATGAGAATCACGGGTTCGTGCCGAGGCTATAGGTACTAATACAGATCTCACGCAGTCCCCTCAATATAAACCATTCTCTACCCTTGCGATCGTCGTATGGGAGTTCGTATTCTAACACTGCCATACGATTCAAGTAGTATACGTGAATATATGTGCATTAGCCTATATGTGCGCGAGCGCAGGAGCCTTTTTCTATGCTTTTTTACATGTGTATGCGAGAGAAAAAAGAGAAACAGAGAGAAAGAGAGAGAGAGAGAGAGACGACTGTACGGACCATTCAGATTTAAATCGTGACAAAAAAATATGAATTCCCCTTGCAGCGATACGAAACGCACTGGTGCTTTCGATCTCTCTCTCTCTCTCTCTCTCTCTCTCTCTCTCTCTCTCTCTTTCACACACACTCTCTCCATCCTTTTCTTTTGCTTCTTCTTCTTCTCTTTTTTGATTACTTTTTTTTCTTCTTTTCCAAACGATCGAGAGTGTGAGAAAAAAAGGATGTGATATCGTATATCGAAGATTCTCTTTCTTTCTTTCTCTCTTTCCCTCTCTTTCTCTCTTTCATATATGCTCTCAAGAAATCGAACGTGTAAAAAAAAAACACGCGAAAGGGTGGACGAAGAGTAAGAAAAAAAAAGGATAGCGAGTGTCTCTTCTCGAGTGAAGGATCTACATAAGTGTCTGTGTATTTGTGTGGATGTATGTGAGGGTGAAGAATCGCAAGGGTGAGAGTAAATTTTTGAACGATGTACTTGACCGACGACGTCGTGGATACGAGCAGATATCGTAGAAAATTAGAACGAGAGAGAGAGAAAGAAGAGAAAGTTTCTGTAATGCAATAAATTTCAACCTTTCGCAAAAAAAAAAGAAAGATAAAATTTAAGAAGGATCGTGTTAAGAGTACGATGGAAAATAAAAATTTGTGAAAGAAGTAAAAGAAAGGAGAAAATAGAAGAAATATAAAAAGAAATAGAAAATAAAAAAAGGAAAACCTAGACAAATGAGAAAGGCAAACATTTTTTTTTGTCGCATAGAATTCAGTTTTATTTCTCTCGTTGCACTCTTTATATATTTACTTCTTTCTTTTCTCTTTTTTTTTTGAACCATCTTTTTACAACAAATATCATCTCTGACTTATCAATAATAGCAATACTTTTCGTCTTTTTAAATAATTTTTATTTTTTTTACTTCTTTTATCTATCTTTTCACCCTTTTGTTTTTTTTTTCTTGCACGTAATCAGGTTTCAACAAACACTCGTATATGTTTATATAGGTATACGTGTGTGAGCAGTAATCCTTCCACTTACACGGTTAATTGGTTCCACGATAACAGCGCGTAAATGGAAGCATGAAAAGCTATTTCAAATAAAAATCTATTCTACGTTTTAAAATATGAAATAGGTGTAACAATTAGTTCGGTGTTTTAATATTAAATTCATTGCAACAATTTGGTAGTTCATCGAAAGGTGTGAATTAAAGTCATCGAAAATAATAGAAACTATTTGGAAAAATAACGGATGTATGATTATTTTATAAATCAACGCTATATATGTTTAAAAGGCACCGAGTTAATTGCTTCACCTAATATTTAGTTTCTAATGGGATAGGAGAATAATTCTACACGAATAAGAAATAAATTACACTAAGGAATCACAGAATTAGGGTTTTATCGTAACTCGTTAAAATGAATCCCCGCGTAAATGGACGGAATCCTGTACATATGTGTGTGTGTGTGTGTGTGTTTGTTTGGGTGTCTGTCTATGTATATATGATTTGTTTTAGGTGGGAGTCTATTTAAGATTTCACACACACATATATGTATACACGTATAAATATATAATATTTATAATCTATATAGTATCTTTTTTTACTATCACTGTATTATTGTCCATGAACTAAATCTACACATATATACAAATTTTACAATGTTAACAATCTACAGTAGAAGATATTTCGTCTTATGAATATGATGATACATTAAGCGAGGTGTGTGTATCCTTTCCCTAATACAAAAGATATCAGCACGCGCGTTTGGTCTGTTATATTGGTTTCCTTCGTAAAACCGAAGGCAGTTAATCGTATATGAATTCAGTATTAGAATCATTTACGATAAAACTCGATAAACGAAGGAATCGAAGTATGATATTGGGTTCATGTTTTTTTATTTTCTAGACTCCTAACATCTTCCTTCGCGTGGTATCACTAGCCTTCCAGGGGAACAGAGGATCTAAGTTCCTTCATTTCTGTTTCATTTTTGATCTTTCCTATAGAGTTCAGTAAGGCCTCCAAACGACAGCTTTCGTAGTAGTTGTAGAAGATAACTTGGTGGTCGTCGTTGACGGTGTTGTTGTATTTGGTGTTGTCCTTTTTGATGCACTTTTGTTAGAAATATATGCCGTTGGTGCTTTCAATTCGTTTCTGGTACCTTCCGTCGGTTTCTTCGGTATAATTCTTTCGGGCGAAGATGAGGACGGTTTTGTGACGGGTGGTAAATGGTGTGGTAGGGTGTTCTGCCTGATTGGAACGAAGGCGCTACTACGAACTTCTTCGGTTGTGACTTCGCTACCGGATTCACTTGGACTTCTTGGTGGTGTTGTTCTTGCTGGGCTGCCAGGTATCGTTAATGGGGCTGTCGTTGTCGTAGTTGTTGATATAGTCGACAATGTTTTTCCTGTTAATGGTATATACTCCATTGCATATTTCGACGGATGATCAATGGAATAAACGGCGGGTAGTACGCTAGTTGGCGAGAACGGCTGTTGAAATATATCAGTCGGTGGTAATTGGAGTGTTCCTGAAAAAAAAATCAAAAACAAACTTTCTTCCCTAAATTCTTCTTTTTTTATTTTTTTATTTCGTTTCATTTCGTTTTATTTCGTTTCATAGGGGTAACAGGTTCGTGAAAAATCTTTTTTTTTTTATTTCGACAAGTTGTAGATCATTGTTCTTAAGATTGCATGCGACATTTATTTATATATATAAATAGTTGTTGTTTTCATGCGGACTGTTTTGTCGATGGTGAAAGATAGAAAGAGAGAAAGAGAGAAGCGTTCTTTGTGGGGGAGAGTGGGCTTGTAAGTCGTATTGTTGTTCTAACGGAAGGGATGTATTCGGAGGTCGAAGGGGGTCCGTTGTGGGAAAAGGGAGCACAGACTCACCCCTCGGTCCAGCACTACGAGGTATGAATCATCGCCAGGCGTCGCGGACTCGACGAAATCGATAACACGAGTTCTCTTTCTCTCTTTTTCGTTTGCACGCGCGTTCTCTCGACGAGCGAACGAACGAACCGAACGAGCGAACGAACGAACCGAACGAACGAACGAACGAGTGGGGCCTCTTTCGAGATCTTTTTTTTTCTTTTTTGTTGCTGATTCGTCAAACCATCACGCGTACACAATGTGTCCGTTTTTTTGGTTTCTTTCTATTCAAGTATTTACGTATCCGTGTAAGTGCAAGTTCCTCGATAACAGGAGAATCCGATTTTTAATATCCAATTGTGAAACTGTTTCGAAAATATTTTTTACGAGTCTGGGTTTTACAAACTTTCGAGATAAAATGAATTGACTATTTTTCAAAGAATTTATACGCACTCTACCCTACTATCCACGATTCTATCTTTTATAGTTTTTCTTATTTTTATTAGTGTTATTTCGGAAAAAGAAATGTATATTAAAGAAAATTTCCTTACCTTTCACTAACGCTGGATGAGGGTACGGCCATGCGGGTGAGCAAAAGATCGCGCTCTCCACCCACGGAGAGAATAGGCCAAGTTGATGGAGTCCATGACCATATTGGTAATCTGTAAATTTAACGTTAGAAATTTAGATAAGAAAAGAAAGAAGATAAAGGGAGAAGGGAAAATAGATATCAGATTTATCGATTGAATCCTAATCATAATATTAAACTTTTCTTCAAATTTATCAAATTGTTTTTCATTTTTCTAATAAAAATAATTGAATAGAATAATCCCTGAAGAAAAAGAAATCAACGGTGATACGAAAGAATAGTTGACGTAAAAAGCTCACAAATTTCACGAACGATTTGTAAGAGTGATGAGAATAAAAGTAAAAAAGCAAAAAGAAAAACAAAATTATCTTTTTTAGCGATGAACTATGCGTTTCTTAACGAGAAGGAGTAGGAGGAGGACTGGTAAAATCTCTTTGGCGGGCGTAACGAACTGACAAACACCGTGAAAAAGAAGATGCCGGCCACCCAAGACCTATAAAACGAGGATTAACGACGGCTCTCTCCGACTTGGCGGCCCGGGTTGAAGCGGGACTTGTATCTTATGTTTATATGAGCTTGGTTATAACGTTCTTTATACGACGCGCCGCGGATTCTCGTGGCGCGCACATGCTACCGCCATATGTGGCGCGATAAACAAACGCATAAACGCGGCTTCTTTATATTCGTTCTCTCTTTCTCTCTCTATTTCTTTCTCATTTCTTTCATTCTTGCTTTCTTTCTTTATTTCTTTCTTTCATTTTTATTTCAACGACTAAGTCTCATCGTAATCTTTAGCCAAGAGATAGAGATGATGRATGATGAAAGAAGAAGAAGACATAGATAGTAGTATTAGTAGTAGTAATAGTGGTAGTAGTAATAGTAGTAGTAGGCTAATAAACAACGTCTTTAACTAACTCACGGTCCAATCGAATAGTTCGACTTTTCGGAAAATAAACAAGAACGTCGAAGATTGAGAGAGGAAGAAGACCTACGATAGTCGCGGCTTGAAAACTTGCCAAGTTTTCTTCTGTGCGTTTGTGTGTATGATGCTCGTCGTGTTCTCTTTCTCTTTAGATGCGTGCTAAATGCGTGTAAGAGAGAGGAATAGAGAGAGATAGAATGAGAAAAAGAGAGAGAAACGTGTCTCTGTGCGCGGGCGCGTGTGAATGCACGTGCCGTGTAAGCGGTTCCACGTTTGAGAGTAACTGAGAGAGCAAGAGAGAGAGTATGTGTATAAGAGAGAGAGATAGAAAGAGAGAACGAGAGAGCTTGCAAGCACCGTCCTGTGACCGCCGCGGCTCGCGGTTTGAGGTCCGCCAGCTATACGCCGGATTATTAAACGGCCGCGAGCTTCCAACACCCGTTTGTGGATTCTCGACTGGTCACACCGCCTCCGCCGATGAGATGAGTCTTTCCTCTGATACTTTCTTTTGCAATCTTTTCAATTTTTTGTTTCTTCCTATTATTTTTACGATTCTATAAATTCTTTCTTATTTTTTATCTTTCGACGAAGCATCGATACCTCAAATAATACACCGTTATTTATTTTCAATACTTATCTCTACTTTATCTGATTCTCGTATGGCGATTCGACGTAGAAAAAAAAAGAAAAAATATAAAAAGAAAAAAAGAAAAAAAATTTTTTTATATTTACTTTTATTACATTTTTGCCAAGACTTACTAGACTTGGATCTTGGTTCTCTTGGTCCGTCCACGGTTACTTTGATTGCCTTGTTGTAAGTTGCTATTTGATTAGTACCAATCTGTATCGTCAGTGAGAAAGATTTACCTGAAAGTATAATCTACGTTGTATTTCATTCGTTTCGGACGAAATTATGATTTTATTCTCGTTTAGTATATAGAATTTAATACGATACGAGATTGTATATATATTTATAGATAAATATAAACGGATATGAATTCTAACCTCTGCCGCTACGACCAACAAATCTTAGATCATTGAACTTAGCGACCCCGTTCTTCATGATCGCCGTGAAGTTCCTGAGTTCGCCGCAACAGTTTTCATCATTTCCTGCCCTAATCGTGACAACCGTTCCGTCTTCGACGTTATCAAGTGTAACGACCTTGAACGCCAACGGAAGCGACTTGTTCGATCTCCAATGAGTCGGTAACATACTGCAAAAGATTGCTGGACTTCCAGTTTGTACGAGATCCCCATGACAATGTGCCAGAGCATCGCGAATCGCCTGGATTGGATCCAGCGGTAATGGTCCCTCTGGTAGATGCATCTCCAATGATCCTACTGCGATCGTAACCCCCAAAGCGCCAACGTTTGAAACTTTTGAATGATCCACTTTACTTGCGTTACACAATTATCCTTAGTTTAATCACTTTCAAATCTTTTTTTATCTTATTTCTCTTTCACAATTAATTTAAAACACAAACACTTAATCTCTTTGTTATTAATAAAATTATTTATAGTCCTGGAGGTTATTATTATTGTTATACTCTAACAAATGAGATATAGGAAGGGCCAACGAAATGAAACACGAATATATCCAGTTTGCCGTTTGTGAGTTTCACGCTTTACATATATACATGTACATATATGTGCGCATCTAAATATACATATAGGTATATGTGGATATATATATATATATATATAGATATGTATACATAAGCATATATATATTTATGTATGTATGTATCCGTTACTCTGAACACTGTATACTCTCTCTCTATACGTATCTTCCCCCTAGTTTGGTGCGAGCGTTACAGAAGGAAAATGGTAAAAGTGAAGTTTATCGCGACGCGCACTCGATGCCGGCTGAGCGGATTCTAGTTTTTCGTGGCCGCAGCCGCAGCTATTTAGAGGGGATTTTTCTCCCCTCCAATTTTTCCGGAGCCCCACCCAGGGCAAGCGCGTCGACCAATGAGGACGGCGGTCGTGTTGTGGCCTCCGCGGCTCGCCGCCTTCGCCCCTAACCAGGCTTAGGGGGTCGCCTGCCTTGCGAAAGGGGCTGCCTGCTTGCCTGCCTTGCTTGCTCGAACCGAGTTGAGGGTGCCTTTCACCTACCATCTCTTTCTTACCTCGCCTTCGTTCTGTCTCTCTCCTTTTTCCTCTCTCTCTCACCTTTCTACCATCTCCCTTTTCTTTCTTTCTTTCTCTCGTTTTCTGTTGGCTGTCCCTCTTCTCTGTCATTCTCCTTCCATTTGCTTTTCTATTTCATCCCTCCTTCCCCTCCGCCCTTTTTTCCCTCTCTCTTCGTCACTCTTTCTTTCTTTCGTATTATCTCATCGTATCTCGCCTTCTCCTTTTCTACCTTTCCTACCTACCTACGAAGCCACCTACGGCCACGCTTACGTGACGACGTGAATTTTCACGCGCACGTGTTCAACTCGCCCCACTATATCACCGTCGTCGTTTCAACCACCACCAGTTCTCTACCACTGCCACCACCAAACTTTCTATCTCTTTCTGTTCAAATAGTTCTTCCTCTATCTTTCTGGCTGTTAGTCCGACTATCGGTCTGTTTGTCTTTTCTATCCATCTATCTTTCTATGTGTATTCCTATCTTTCTCTCTCTCTCTCTCCTTCCCTCAACATTTCCCATCCAGAGCCACACACGTTTCTTGACCTCGACGGCCTATGCACTTGTGATTGCAGTTACGTTGGATTATTAGATCGAACAACGATCCTACTTTTTGGTAATATTTTATTATACGCTTTTTCTCATTGTTTTATTTTATTTTATTTTATCTTATTTGAAATTTTTTGTATTTTCTCGTATTAAAATTTCTATACCGAACGTACGATTTTCGACAATAATTTTATCTATCTTTTTGTTTTACAACTCATTCTTACCTTAAGGTCTTATTATATTTTATATACTCGTGATATAATTTCTCATATAAATACGGTCGTAATGAGAAAGAAACACAGCTTGTTTTATAACTTTAACGATCGGAGGTCTATTTTTGACCTAGGCCAACAATTTTACGAGTTTTCTCGTCGAAGCGATTAAGGTCGTTTACGCCTAAACTCGTTTCACAATTTCCTTCGAAACTTTGGGAATCTCTAATCGGATTTCTCTATGAAGCTTTAATGTAGCTCATGAAAGGGAATATAGATCGATAGGTGTAATGTTGTGATATTTGGACAAAAAGGAGTTCGCGCAAATCCCATCGCGGGTGGTCTTACAGGTCTTTCGAAATATTGGCTGATTAGTTTGGCGAGCATGCTGCTACATAGTATCGTCCTCGCATTAGAGTCAACGAGTTTCCCTCGTTTCAACAAGAAACGTATTGATGAATCATAATTAATTGTGACTAGTAAGTTCCATGAGTTTTATATTCAAATTTGCGATTTTGACCAATTTAATTATCGTTTAATAAAAAAACTGATTTTATTATAATTATATCCGATAAATATATATATATATTTTTTTTGCTACTTAGCATGGTGACTTTCTTACAGTTTCATTGGTTAGAATGACCAACCTTTTCCCCCCACTTTTGCTTAACGTCGCTCTACTATGCATATATATTTTCCTTATTGGTAGATTTACGTCCATTAACTCGAAATTTGACCTAGAAGGAGAAAATGAAAAACCTCGAAACAGTAGGACATCGTAAAAGCGTGGATATTGAAATTTATTTTACCTATGGTTAACTATAGAATTTAAATATGCCCACAAAATAAATATAAAGAACTTAGGACTTTGTCAGAAAAGTCTTTCATCATTTGATTTGTGAGAGTCAAAAGTGAGAATAGATGGATACATCTTGACCTTGTGCCCTTTTTCCAGATGCTAATCATGAATAAAGAATCATTCTAATTCAACTGTTCAAATATTTCTTTTTGTGAAAGAAATGTTCAATTTTTAAGTATTGAATATGTAGATACGCTCCTTTCTTGAATACACAATCCTGAAATATCTTCATTGTTCATCTCTAGATATCTAAATTAGAAAAAAAATACCTAAAACGAAACCAGAAAAAATGTAATTTGTTGTTTGAAAATAAAATATTAACAAATAGTTGATAAAAATAGTTAAAATATGGTAAGTTCTTATTCCATTGATTTTTGTTGTAAAAGAGAGCCCCCAATTTGAAGCTTTTCGGTTGCTATCAAAGAACGGCTGATAAACTAGCTGACGGTATAGTTGTAAAAGTCGACTGGAACCCATTTCTCCTTTATGCGAAACTCAGGGAGGAAAATTCAAATCGATCTCCGACGAGTTCTCAATGTGAGAGGATCCAATCCTTTGATTTTCTAGGTCAGCGTGTCGTTGTCGGGTGGATCCGAGCGAGATTTACAACGAAATTGCAGCCACAGCCTTGCCTCTTCCTATCCACCAGCTATACTATCCACCACTTCCACCTAGAATCCACATCACCTACACCAACACCAATACCAACATCAACGTGCTGCCCTTTAACGAGGCCAGATTAATTTTCTCGAACGCGTGACTCCTCGTTGCACTCTGTTTACGTCCATCTACGTAACGTCCAACTGAATCGTTAGTTGGATAGTTAAAAATACGACAAATTTATCAGTCACTTTTTACTTACTTTCTATAATATATTGTAACTTTGTAAAAGGACGATTTTTCATCATAAGAAAAATTTAGAAGCCTTGACATGTTTCCATTTGATCGTTTTGAATAGATTATTGTAGTAATAATTTATACCATATTATAGTTGTCTTTATTTTACTAGAATAAGAACAGTGATCTATATAAAAAGAGGTTTAGTTTAAAAACTTTCTGGTGATGGAGATTTAGGAAGAAAATCGTCGTCGGTTGTGCCGATGAATGGAAGAGTTCTTCCTTTTTTTTTTTTTAATCACCATCTCATCCTTGTAGGGTAAAAGTTCTGACGAGTCTTGAGACATTTTTTTTACACCTTGACGAGGATTAGCTCTAGATTAACCCAATTTTTCTCCCCTACTTTTTTACCATCCACACAAGTTTATAGCTTCAACCTGGCCATATTGTGGCATTTTTTTACATTGCATCTGGCTAACTCGAAACCCGAAGGGGAGAAACGAGAGAGAAAGAGAGAGAGAGAGAGAGACAATAAATATTGGAAAGTACGAACGTAACTACCGGTTCTTGTTTTCCTTCTTTTTCTCTTTTGAACATTTTATAGGTTTTCGAACCGCATTAGAAATTGCATGATGATTTTTTCCAACGTTCTCAGAAGGTACACAAGTAAAAGCTAAGGTTTTCAAGAAGAGTTCTTCTTTCTCTTTCTTTCTCTCTCGACCCCTTACCATCTTTATTATATAAAATTTTACCACTCGTGAAAAGATTTACTAAAAAGAAATAGAAAATAAAAGGGAAAAAGGAAAGAAGAAAAGGAAAAAAAAAAAGGAACAAAAAGTCATAAAAAAGAAAAAAAGAAAGATCGGCAAAGAAAATATCTGGGAAAGAAAAAAAAAAGAAATATAAGCACAGGAAAATAGTTAGTTAATCGTGAAATAGTATGCATTACGTACATATGGTATATAAATAGTTACATGCATGTGTATATTTTTTTATATAAAGTGTATGATAACAAGGGTAAAGCGTGCATTGTGTTTCCGACGAAGGCTGAGTGCATATACATGCACCACGAATGCATCGTCAACTAATTAAACGCATGGCTCTCAACGAGATGGCGAAACGAAGACGCGGAAAACAAAAACAAAAAAATAGAAAAGAAAAATAGAGAAAAAGAAGAAAAGAATGTGTGAAAAAATGTTTGTGTGTGTGTGTGTGTGTGTGTGTGAGAGAGAGAGAGAGAGAGAGTGGAATGTTATTTTTGTCATTTTTTGAGAACAACAGAGACTAATTTCTTAAAAAGTCCGTACACGTTAGGCTTCCGTTTCCTCGTCAGTGACCAGCAAAAGGGACGGCTTTTTTAATATCACCTAGTGCTGCTTGTCGGCACTAGGAAAAGGACAATAAAAGGTGAATGCGCACCACCGTGTGTCGAGTTTGGCGTCAGCGTCGGCGTCAGCCTTCGCGTTCCCGTCGGTTTGACTTTCGTTGAGAAGACTACGAGGCTGCCAAATACGGCCTCCTGTCTGACTACCAAATAAAGACCTGCCAGATTTTAAACGTTCATGCAAAAATAAGTTTTACTACAAAAATCTAACGAAGCTTTAACTTGGATAGGATAATTTAAATCATTATATTTTTATCCTATTATTACATTTCAAATTGATGTCATTGGTTTATTCATTATTAAAAAAAACAAAACAATTATCATTCGTATTATTTAATCGCAATTGTAATTAAGAGAAAAAGAAGAAGAAAAAAAAGAATGAGAATACATAACATTTTAATTATTTTACGTAACTTTGAGTTGCGCGAATTTTCGAGTCAGTCAAATTTYTTTAGAAGAAGAAGAAAAAAGCGTAGGAGATAGATTGTGTGAGAGAGAGAGAGAAAGA